CTTAACAGCAACCCAGTTTCTGTGCGTGCGCCTCTGAGTCCTGAATCAGGAAGCAGCTGGCCAGCTTAGGGATTCATCAGCATGCAGCTTCCCAAACCAAGACTGCGAAAAGGGAGGATGCGTGTGATGTTGGACCCTCTTCAGTATATAGTCTCACTTAAGTAGATTGAATATGGAGTATATGGGGGTCTTACTATAATATACCCAAAGCCATATTCTATCTACTTAAGGGCTGGGGGACTATAGCGCCCCCCCCCTGTCTGAACAATTGACTAGTATCTTTAACATGCGGAGCCTGACCCTAAGTTTGCCGCGCAATTAAAATCGAGAAGAACACACATGAATCTCAGTAGTAGCCTCGTAGCTGGTATTCTTTGTCCGTTTATAATGTTAGTCCTGACACTACTGATACTACCAGTAGCATTAAAGTTTCTGCGGAACCAAATTAAACAATTTGAAAATCCAAGTACAATCTATTAAGACAGAACTAAATTCGATTACGATCTAATTAAACTCAGTTCATACCCAAATTAACTGATATCTGAATCCTAATTGCAATAAATATAGTTAGAGGTTACTCAATTGGGAATCTACTTAAAACCAATTAAGAATCATCAAGTAAAGCCAATTGAAATCAAGGTAAAACCAACGGAAACCAATTCAAAGTCGAATGACAACCAATGTGAAATCAGACTGAACTCCATCCAAACTGGATTGAAATCCGATTAGCGATCATACTCGAAAAAACCAATCCAAAGTCTAAGTAAAATCGCATAACATCTATTTGGAATCAAGTGAGAACACAATTAAAACCAAGTGGCGAACCTAATTGAAGCTATCTTAACATCAACTGAAAATCTATTGGAACCTTGCTAAAACCATTTTAAATCTGATTGAAATCAGGTGGAAATCTAGTCGAAACGAAATTACACATGATCAAACCAGTTCAAATCCAACGAAAACCAATTGACAACTAAGTTAAAACAAATGCAGATCTAACTCAAATCAATTTAAAGCCCAACTAAAGCCACTTGAAATCCAATTTCCAAATTAAAATGGATGTCATTCTGGTGTTAGGCAGCTGGAAAAATGTGTTGTTATTCCGGATCCCTAAAAAAATCGCTTAAAGTGGATCCGGGCCTCTGCTGGACTAGCCCCTAGAAAAATTGAAGGATCGCAAGATTTCGTATAGTCCAAAGAAAACGTTTTATATGGAGCCGGGGTCTTGGACTTTACGCATTTCAAGGGTTTTCAAATTCTCTAATATAAGGTCTTACAAGTAAACGCTCTGCTACTAGAAGTCTGGAATGACAAATCCTTTGAGGCTGAGAGCTTACAGGCTTTTACTTTTAAAGAAATCTACTGAACCATTTAGGCGGCTAGAAGAATGTACCATTATTTCGGACCCCCAGAACAAATCGCTTAAAGTGGATCCAGGCCTCTGCTGGACTACCTACCCCCCCCAGAAAAATTGATGCATCGTATGATTGTGTACAACTCCGAAAAGGCGGTTTATATGGAGCTTCTGGGTTTCGGCGTCTCTGATATCTGGCCTTATAGGTATGGCTCTGGTTCTAAAGCTCTGGTATTTAAACCATTCAAGGCCTCGGGCTCAAAGCGTTTGAGTTTTTAGGTATTCTTAGCTAAAACAACCCAAGTTTAGATAATATGTTTTGTTGTTTTAAATTTCTGGGCCACCGAAAGTTCTATTATTCCGGACCCTTCCAAACCAGCCAGAGACACAATAGTTTCCCCAGAACATTTTGTGAAACCGGGTGCCTTGTGTAAAGAGGGTCCAGGATTGACGCAGAAGCCTAAATTATCACAACTATATGTCAAAATCTACTTGAGGTACCTTGTAGTATTCTACTAGGAGTCTAAGACCACAGCAGCGGCAAATAAACACAGCAGCGGCAAATAGCCCTGTAACCAGTACAGCCCCAATTTCCATTCCATTTTCCATGTTCTTTCCAGCGTCCGGGAACCCTAAACCTGGTATATATATAATATACATATTATATCTTTTATAATGATTGCGTGCTGGACCATCCCCCTTCCCGATAATAAGTGACATGATATATGAGGACTGATGTGGCGAGTTAACGATAGGAAATTCGAAGGAAGTTATGGAAAACATGTACAGATTTGAAGAGCTCGGAACTCAATCGACGTTGAATAGATTGTATATCGAGTCTAAAGACTATGACGACATTTGTAGAGACCATGCGGAGGTTTTGAAAGGAGCGAAACAGAATGACCCCCCAAACCTATGCTGCCCCGCGTCCTTCCATGTCATGCTCCCACCAGGCTTGGCCCACTGCGGCTGTGCTGCAGCTTGGGAACCACCTGACACTCAGCGGAAAGGCTGTCTATTTGGGTTGCTGAGAAAACATAAACTCAGAGAGCAAAAATGAGGAAGCTACGTCATTTACTGTGCATGTATGTATCTATATGTAAACAACCACATGATGGCAACTTAAGTTTAAGTTTCTTAGCAGCCATCCGGTTATTCATCGTCTTTGTCAATTCGACCTGATGAGCCCAATAAATCTACCAGTCCCCCAGCCAGTCACAAGCTTTTGCTCACGTTCGCCTTCCTTCCCTGAGACCCAGAGCACAGAGCGGCTGTAGGGTGGATTGCCCGAGGCATCGTCACCCCACTTGGGGTAGCCGCCTTGAGGTTTAGGGTTGTAGGGTTTAGGGTTTACGGTTTTAGGGATTAGGGTTTTAGGGTTTAGCGTTTAGGGTAGCCGCCTTGCTCGTCAACGTGCGACTTCCCCACATGATGGATCTTGTTGCCGACCTGCACCCAGTCTCGCAATCCTCCCGCACGCATGACTGCAGCCCACTGATCTTCTCCAGGGTAGATTGGCCCGTTCTTCTCCAAAAAAGCGCGGGCCTCATCCAGCCTAGGTTCTTGCTGAGATACTATTCAAAATAATCATTGTTCATCTATATAGGGCCCAGGTATACATAAAAAGGTAAAATGCATTAAGCCCTAAACCCTAAACCCTAAACCCTAATTCAATAAGACCTCAGCAGCCCAAGCAGGCGCCCTCCCATCTTCTGGGCGTGCGCCTCGGAGTCCTGCGTGTTTGTCTGCCTACAGGCTCCGGCCTGAAACCCTAGGCTCTCACGCCTAATTAATAAACCCCCTCCTTTTAAGGGCCTTACAGGGGTAGTCTAGGAATATAGGGGGGATATAAGGATTATGTAGGGATACTGGAAAAGAAAATGCTAACCACTAGTTAGGGATATTAGCAAACCCCCAGTCCCTTTACGCTGTGCGTCTGAAATCACCCAGTAGCGTGCATCCCGAATCGCCACTCACACCCCAGACCTTGAGAAACTTCTAGCCTATCCACTACCCCTTAAGTAGACAGAATATTGGGTATATAGGGGTCTTATTATAATATACCCAAAGCTATGTTCTATTGACGTAAGGGGGACAATATCCGCTACCCAGAATTCCTGCTGCCTACTCTCTCCTGGGATAGTAGGTTTTTAAGGGGTCCAGGTTTGTACCCCTAGGTTTAAAACCCTAGGTTCAAGCACCCTTTTGCGGAACTCTGGGAGGCTACATAGGGTTCGAACTAGATTGGGGGAAGCATGTAGGCATACAACCTTCGGGGCCTAACCCTAGAACCTGTGAGGTCTGGGCAAAGCGGCACAGTCATCCCTCAGCTAGTTTTATAGGGTTTAGAGTTTAGGTTTAGGGTTCAGGGTTTAGGGAAGTTCGGGGGACGCAAGGTTTGGGGGCCCTAGGTGCTTATGACTTTCGAGGGATGAGATAGGGATTGCGGGATAAGGAAAAGTTAAAGCATGTTTTCGAACCTACCCCTGATGGCTCGTATAAGCTCCAAACTCTCAATCCTACATCCCAAGAACCAGAACCTAACAACCCAGCTCCTAAACCCTAAATCCTAAACCCCACCTAACACCCTAGAACCTTCCATCCTTCCACGTGAGGCTGCTCCCAGGCTTTATCCACGAAGGCGTTACTGTCATGGTGACCACCTGGGATTTTATTGAAATTGCTTGAAGGTTTAGGATCCCTGGGGCTCATAATCCCCCTTAAGTAGATAGAATATGGCTTTTGGTATATTATAAACAAGACCCCCATAGACCCCATTTTCTATCGAATCTACTTAAAGGGGACTATAGGGTTTAGAGTCCCTAGGGTTTAGGGTTTGGGTCCCGTAAGCTTTGGCACCCCACCCGGTCAAGTGACATGAGCTATCATGAAAAAGCTCCTAGTATGTCCCTCAATAACCCCTATAATGCTCCCCTCTCGAATCCCCTATACATAAGCTCCTTTCAGGAGTTTAGACTCTCACATGGAACTTCAAGAAGCCCACTGAGGCTTCCATCCATTGAAGGGAAGCCTGTAATGTTGGGGTTCCATTCGGGGAGGGCAGATGGTCCAGGGTTTTGGCGTCTCCAAGTGGACTCTCCATATATACACTCGCCGATATTTCCAAGGAAACTCATAGAGACTCACGAAAAACCTACAGTATCGGTGTACCTTACACCTTTTTTGGGGAGAGTGGGTACGGTAACTGCTCCCAGCGTCTTGCCTGGAGGCATGGCTAGTTACAGCCAAGTATACTGATTCACTGCTTCTTGGTCATATGAGCTACAGTGAAAATAGTATCTCCCTGAATAACCCCCATAAGAGTCCCTCATATAATCCCCTAAAAACCCCTGTAAGGAGTTTAGACTATAGCTAATACGGAAACGTAAGAAGAATGATTCAACATCTCACGTAATTAGCCTGCTCGATCGTACGAAGTCAGTAGACCCGGCTTTCAACGACACGTTGGCACCCTACACCCTAAACCCTACTTTTGGCTCCAAAACCTTGAACTCACTAAAACCCCAAACCCCTAACCTCTGAACCTCTACACCCCTGAACCCTAAAGGGCCTAGAGTTCGAGAATTCTGGGGTCTGCTGAGAATCATAGCCCCCTTTAAGTAGATAGAATGTGGGTATATGGGGATCTTATTATAACATATCTAAAGCCATATTCCATCTACGTAAAGGGGACTATAAGTCTGCTTCCGGCACTGCAGGCCTTGGACCTCAACTTGCTGGTGCGTAAGGAGGAATATATTGAGTTTAAGGTTCAGGGCTTAGATTTAGGGTTTAGTTCTTGAAAACCATGTTCAAGAATCGCCGAAAACTTCAAGCCCTCAAAACCCAAAACTTCAGAGAGCAAGGTAGTTTCCATTTTCATTTCCATGTCCCTGAATACCCTCAATACCATCCCTATCTGTCCCTATCTATTTGAACAATTTGAGGGCACCTTCATAACCAAGACCCTAAACCCTGAGCCCCAGACCCTATAGCCTAAACCCTTTAAGCAGCAGTGCAAAACCCTAGACCGTAAACATTATTGTTTGCTGCCACATTGTTCGACGCGGCGTTGGCCACCTCGCTCCTTGTGTGGATGTGTTCTTCTTGCGAACATGATGCCGCGCAACAATGGTTTGCTGTTTAGGGGTTTGGGTTTAGGGTTTAGGTAAATTGCCGCAAAAAAAACATCAAACATTAAATGTGGCTCTCACAGGGTTAAAGAATACTGTCGGGATCATGTGCGATCCTGGAATGTTCGCTGGCAGGACGCTTGGACGGTGCAGGCACTGTGAGGTACTAGTAAATCTGGTGGCAAGCACATCCCAACACGAAAATTGGAGCCTGTCTCTTTGGACGTACACGCATCTTGGACAAGTCCTCAAAGGGGAAGAAACCCCTTCAATGAGATGCATCATAGCTGCTGCTTCTTGCTCTTGTAGGCAAACACTTTGTCACAAACACAGGTTTATACTCCCCCTGAAGTAGATAGAATATGGAGTATATGGGGATATTCTTATAATAAACCCTAAACCCTAAACCCTACCCAAAGCCATACTCTATCTACTTAAGGGGGACTGTAAATAGAAACTTTATCGTGATGGTTTTGGACCTGCGCGGGTGGCCCGATCCTGCAGATGAATTACGTTGGACGCTAAACATCCTGAAGGAGACTTGTGTGTACTTTGGGGTTTAGGGTTTAGGGTCTAGGGGTTTAGGGTTTAGGGTTTAAGGGTTTAGGGTTTGAGGGTTTAGGGTTTAGAATACATACCACACTGACAAAAGGCATGGGATACTTAGGGTGATGGAGGGTTTGTAGTATCACCAGCACGTAATGGTCCGTCCAGCCGGTCTTATGAACCTCCACTAAATACTTAAAGCTCTCCAACATGCCCTACAACTACCTGGGCTTCAACTTTCCCATATTTTCTTTTCAGGTCTTGGGGCTCATATGAGCCATAGTCTAAACTCCTGGCATCCCCCTTCAGAACCACCGTAAAACTCACTTGTAAAACCCACTTTTAGGAGTCTAGACTATAGCTCATATGCCTTCAGCGTTGGAGTAAGACCGCTTTGCTTTGAGCGCCTAAGCCTTAAGCTTGAAGCTATGCCGAAGACCTCTCCAAGCTGAGCAACTCTCTACATTCGTAAAGTTGGCCTTACCAAAATTAAGGGTACCTGTTTGGCTGTCTGCATAAGAAGGATTACAGCATTCTGCGGTCTATAGTGGGGGAGCCCTATATGTGGAAACCTACCAAAGAAAGCCCTTAAAATCACTAAAACATGCGTTTCAAGATTAAAGGGTGTCTTCCAAGTAGTGGTACGTCCCTTCGAGCAGAGCCCTGCCTCCTGCCTAACCCTAAACCCAAAACCCTAGACCCTAAAAACCCTCTGTGCAGCATCTAAACGGCTCATGCTTGGAGGGTCAGAGGGACTTAGTAAGTATACTCTTACCCCTAGACGCCATATTATATCCCCTGCCGTTATCCTTGTTATGCAGTCAGTAGATTTAATTCAGTCCCAAACGTCATAAAACTTTGGATAAGTTTCTTCTGTGACGTGACCGAAACGACGTCATGCACCTTAGCTGGCCGTCGGGGAGGTGTTCTCAAGATTGGGAGCCCTTATACCCTAAACCCTAAACCGCATGTGAGACAATTCCGAACAAGGCATGGCAAGGACTAGCGCTGCATGGAGATGGAGAAATTGTGAAGGGAAAACGTGCTCTTGCTCATTGAACAAGGCCTTGTCGCCGAGGGCGAAGGTTGTAGGGCTTAGACTATTGATTTTGGGGCAGGGGTTGTGGATGGATGGCTGGCCGGCTGGATGGGGAGCTTTCCCTAAACCCGAAACCCTAAACCCTAAGGGTACCACCTACTGTCAGAAACCACCAGAATCCAGTCAAAGATGAAGACTTAGAGTTTAGGGTTTAGGGTTTCGGGTTTGCCAAGGCACTTCCAGGTCTTCCGCAGGCTTGTGCACATCTTCGCTTGGCCCATCTTCGCTTGGCACGACTTTGGCGATCACCACCACCGGACCCTGCGTCATCATTTCTCGACACATGTCAGTTCTGTTTCAAGTTAAGGTTCATCTACTAGCTTCCGGAATGATTATGTCTGTCCTTACCCTAACCTCTCTTCCCCAATAACCAGGGCTAAACAAGCTTAAACTTTATTACAGAGACCCAAAAAGGAAACTCAGAAAGGTTCAAGTTCTTCTATTGGCTAAGTAAGAAACCCTAGACCCTGAGATTCTTCCTCAGGGAGCTCAAAGCGCAATCCAACTTTTAAATATGGAACATTCAGGACATGCAGCGACCCCCTGGCCCTCCCAAAGAATAGTAAACACCTCCCAAATAATAGTATTTTGGGGTTAAAGGCTGCTATTGTGGGTATATGGGCTTGGGAGGTTCAGGTACACTCCTCGTGGTATGAAGCCTTATCTCCTGATTGCAGTACTTGAGGGTCAGGTGGACATAGTCACTTACAACCGCTCTAAGCCGTCAACTCTCTAAGTCCCTTTGCCCTTTAGGTAGTTTTTTAGGTTTGGG